CCTGAAGACGATCGCCTTCCAGCAGCTTTACGACGGATGCTTCAGATCGCTTTAGCTAACTCTACTACGGATCATGGCCAAGACAATGATGCTAATGATTTAAGTTTACTTGCTAGTAAAATGCTGATCAATGATAACATGGATGATCTTGCAGATATTTGTATTCGAGTCGATAACAAGTTTTTCCGCTGTCACAAAGTTGTTTTAGCATCAAGGTCTGAGTATTTTAAGGCGAGAATATCCCGTATCAAGGATTTCGGTGAAGGAAAAGATGAACTTTCAGTTCATACTCTTCCGTTTATCGAAGAACACGATTTGAGCATGGAAGCATTCGAAAAAATGATCAAGTATATGTATGTTCCAATTCATCCCACCCTATTTAGATTACTGTGGTTGGAGATTGTCTATGCAGTCTTGGGAAGAATCCTTTTATAGTTCTTCAAAATTGTCTCGTCCATCTGTAACAGCCCAAGTCCACCGCTAGCAAATATTGTCCTCTTTGGACTTTTACTTCCGGGCTTCCTCTCAAGGTCTTTAAAACGCGTCTGCTAGGGAGAAGTTTCCAAACCCTTATCAAGAATGTTTCGTTCTCCTCCCCAACCGATATGGGATCTCACAATTTTAAGATAAAGTTTAAGTATTCATTTCCACATAAAATTGATTATGTTACGATGACGGTAGTGACTCTAGGTAGGTAGAAATCTAGGGTCGTTACAGTTGGATTGTGAGATCCCACATCAGTTAGGGAGGAGAACGACGCATTTTTTTATAAAGGTTTGGAAATCTCTCCCGAGCAGGTGCGTTTTAAAAACCTTGAGGGAAAGCCCAGAATAGAAAGCCCAAAGAAGACAATATCTGCTAGCGGGGCTTTGACTCGTCCATCAGTGTTAGATTTTTTCTTGCTTGCTGACACTGTTTTGGTTCTTGGATGGTTCAGGTACACAGATTGTTTGGAGGATATAGATCCTGATCAGGTAATTTATATGCTAATTAGAACTGCTTGCAAATTCTTGATGGTTCTACTTCTAAATTTTCGTTGTCGATCGAGTAGGCGGAAGAAATGTTCGATGCTGCTTCGAGATATCTTTTATTCCCTCTTAAGCGTGCTGTAGCCGATGCTTTGCTACCACAATTGGAAATGGTTTCTCCAGCAGAACTATGCCAATGGTTACTACTGTCTGACATGTATGTCAAAAATATCGATCCTCTACGAGTATTACGAGTATCTTTTTGATGTTTAAGTGACCCCATGAGGCAAGCTAATCTAAATTATGAAATCATTGCTCTTCTCCTTTCCAGGTATGGTGTTATCAAGATACGCGAGTATTGTTTGGATACAATAGCTTGCAATTTCGAGACATTCGCCGATACTCGAGAGTTCAGAGAGATGCTATGGACCCTTCCTCCACCATCTGGGGATTCCTCGCTCCGTACGACAGCTCCGAGCGCTCCAGGAGCTGCTGTTAATATCGATCAAGGCAACGTTCTTGATGATCTACGAGAAAAATGGCTTGAAGCTGAAGCTGCTGAGCTTGATAAGAGAGACGAAAGTGCTCTACTCTTCGATAAGCGTCTCGAGATGCTAATGCTCGTAGCAGAACGAGAAAATGAGACCGGTAACCATCCTACACCCATCTGAATTATACTTTCTAGTTTAGAATTGGAGAATTTTGTTGGGGTTTTTGTAACTTTAGTTGCTTGATCATTGAACCATAAGTTTGTTCTTAGGCGTTTCATTTTTTGTAATATATTACAACAGCCTGTGCTATAATAAATTTTTACTTGATCACTGAAGAAAACTTGTCTTAGGAACTGTAGTAAAACTACATCCTCTTTATCCTTCCTCACTAAAACAGGAGCTGCTAAAGCCAACTGACTCCGGAGGCCCCCTCGGCCAATCCTAAACGAAAAGGAGGGCGAATCTACCAATGATGGTGAAGCCTTCCCGTCGGTAGTATCGGCAGCAGGAGCGATGTCGGGCTCAGAACTGGAGATGGGGTGGGAGGGATATCAGAAAATTGCCTCTGGAAGTAGTACACGATCGAGTTGGTTAACGGCAACGGGATAGGTTGAAAGCATGCTGCTACTCACTTTCGTGTCGGTCCAGCCAGAGCTAATGTGCACGGTGCCGGATGCATCGGTCAAAATCTAACTGTACTGCTCACTAGCAAATGTAGTAATGGGGCTCTTTTGGGTAAGGTCGTTGAAATCAGCTAGAGTGTAGTAATGTGGTAAGCTATGAAAGAGCAGCAGTGACTTAAGCTGTTCCTTGGTTAAACTGGATGGAGAAGGTTTCCGAGTGATGAAAATGCACTATCCTTTGGTACAAATGGTTACTGTAGCTCAAAAAGGATAATATCTTCAAGCAGTGGGCTTGAACCATTACAAATGGTATCAGAATCAGACATTGCACGATGTGTCAGCGAGGAGGTTGAATTCCGAAGGGGAAGGACACAAGGAGGTGTGCCAGCAAGGACGTTGGGCCCCAAAGATGGTAGAATGTGAGATCTCACATCAGTTGGGGAGCCAGCAAGGATGTTGGGCCCCAAAGGGGGTGGAATGTGAGATCCCACGTCAGTTGGGGAGGAGAACTAAATATTCTTTATAAGGGTATGAAAATCTCTCCCTAACAGACACGTTTTAAAATCCTCGAAGGAAAGCCCGAAAGAGAAAACTAAAAGAGAATAATATCCGCTAGCAGTGGGGTTATTACAATTACTCCCTCTTCAGAATCGTTATGGAATGAAATGGGCCCGCTACAATAAACAAGTCAGCGAGATTAACATGCTCACAAACCGGTGCCGGTGTCGGAGGAGGCTTAGCAGCAATCCGAGTGAGCACACACCGATGAAGAGCAAAAGAGTAGTCAAAAACACGAAACAAGAAAACCACATAAAGTTTCATTTTTTGTTCTGTCATATCCCTGAAACGCACAAAAGCCATCGAATTAGTTCTAACTAGAAGAACCCCATTTCTAGATACACAAACCAAAGTTCATATATTCATAAAAATCGTTCCCAAATTCTTAGTGTAAACTCATAAGATAGAAACCCAATCGAGTTCTTATCACTAAGAGTACAGGTTTTTACTGTAGTCGTCGAGCTAACTTGTTTGGTAAAAGATATCATTTCGTTCATGTCATGACTCAACTAACACTCACATTAACCTCTATTCAATTAGCTCTAGGGGGAATGCTCTTTTGGCTGCCCTCCAGTTTCAACGACTCCATGATTAACCATGGTACGGTTAGGAACAAACCCAGGCTGATTCGAATCCAAATGATCCAATCAGAAGCACAGGGTGGCCTTGTCAGCAGTGACCATGTCTGCCACGTGTCGCGAGTTCATTTGGTGAAAGCTCCATATGTGGAAGGTGGGATCCACGTGGGTGGGCCAGCTCACCGCCCATTCCAAAAGCGATATAACCTCTTCCCAACTTTTTACACTCCTTTCGGGTTCATGGTCCCCACTCTCGTCCTCATAATCTTTAGGGATCATTTTTTTTCTACGTTAAAATAATTTTTATAATGTTCAAAATTATTTACAATAAATAAATAAATATATATATATATATATATATATATATATGTAACGAAAAAATAACTTAAAATTTATTCTTAATTATATATATATATATTTTTTTAAATATAACGAAAGTGATCTAATTATTATAACATATCATCACATTACTATCTTTATTTTGATTCTTTACGTGTGTTTGAGTAAATAATATTAATAGTTATTAAAGAAATAAAATTTTATTTATGATTGGTTTCAGTTCGGTATTTAAACGAGCTAGATTAAAATTTTATTATTATTATTATTATTATTTATGAAATGGTTATGGAAAGTTTTGGCCAATTTGAAGTATTGGTTGGGAGGTCGACATCGTCAAGTAGAAGAGGGATGGCTGCGTGCTTGGGTGGCTTCCACCTCACCCAATCACACTCATCATCCATAGACTTTTTTGCCATGTGGCGGCTAAGTGGGCCCCTTGTTTTCTATTCTCTTCATCATCCACCGTACATCACTAATCAACATCCAAAAAGTGGGTCCCTTCCTTTATGATGAGTCAATTTTCACACACCATTTCATATGCCACGTCAGTATTTCATGCGTTTCGTCGACGGAATTCCTTCTGCGTTGGCCTCCACCTCCTCGGGCCCACTTCCACGTCTGCCATCTCAATGATTTAAAATATATATATATATGTGAAATAATAAAATCAAAACTAATAAGTCTAGTTAAAAAAATTAAAATATTTCTGCAATTTCTAAGACAAAGAGTGGAAGAACCTGTTAGATGAACACGACTCTCCACAATGCTATGATATTGTCTACTTTGAGCATAAGCGCTCATGGTTTTGATTTGAGCTTCTCAAAAGGCCTCACACGAATGTAGATACCCATGATCATTTCCTAGATCAGTAGATGTGGTACTCTAATTATCCGACAGAACCAACCACAGTATGCCTCACTAAACAAATCATTCCTTGTAAGAATGTGGAAATATCTCTTTAACAAGTGAACCTTAAAATTGGGGGCTGATGACCATACGTAACGGGTCAAAGGGAAAAATATATTTCTAGCGACGAGGGTTGAGCTGTTGCAATAAAACATAAGGTAATGTGATGATGTCAAGCTGACAATAACGACGATTTGCTCATAAAAAAAAAACTGTGTTACATATAACTAAACTAATTGTTGTTCAATTTGTCAGTAATTTTAATGATACCACTATTTATGAGATTTTATTAAATCATAAACACTAAATTCGATTTTGATTAAAAATTACTCAATAATTGAGAGAGAATATGAAGCATAAATTATTAATGAGGTTTAGATGATTAAGGCAAATGAAGAGCTAATTAAGGGGATGATTGATTATAAACACACAATCTTTCACTTCAAGATGTTTAGCAATTTAAAGTAAATTATGTTGTTGATTTTCGTGAGAGGTAAACTGTCAAATCCCAATTGTGTTTTGATGTGTCCCCACATGAACACACTTTCAGTTCTATATATAATCCATGCTCCTTCATCATTCTTCCATCCCACCATTTCTTTCTCTTCTTCAATTTCTCTCTCTACTGCAATTTTACCATGGCCACTGCAGAGGTAAATTTTGGGTCCTGCTCTGTTTTTCATGTTTAATCAATCTTCTGCTGATACGAGGTTAATTTTCAGGTTGTAACACAGGAGGCAGCGCTCCAAGAAGAAGTAACAGAGGTGGAGGTACCACCGTTGAAGGTTGAAGAAGAGGCACCGGCGGAGGAGGTGGCAAAAGAAGAAGCGGCTGAAGTGGCTGAACCCCCTGTTGCAGTTGAGACCAAGGAAGTAGTAGCAGAGGAGGAAGAAGAAGAAGAGGCAAAGGAGGAGGTTGTGGAAGAGAAAAAAGAAGTAGAAGCAGCTGAAGTTGAGGCGGAAGAAAAAGAGGAAGCGGCAGCTGAGTCGGAGCCGGCGGTGGCGGCGGAGGAGGAGGAGGAGGAGGCCAAACCAGAGGCTGAGCCAGCGGCGGAAGAAGAGGCCGTTGAGGTGAAAGAGACGGCTGCAGAAGAAGCAGAGGAGAAACCGGCTGAAGAAGAACAGGCAGCTGAGAAGGCCGAGTGAAGTTGTGTAGAGTGTGTGTGTGTATGTCATGTTTAAGCGGTTGATTGAGTGGGGAAGGGAGTGAATAAGGCAAGAGGGTTATAGGGATTAGGGGAACTTGTCTTTCTTTATGTGGATGTTTGTTTGGAATGCAATATTTTTGCTTCTCATAATGTGTTTTGTGTACTTCATATAGCTTTGTGTAAGCTTTTAAGTGTCGGGTTAATATCGTGTTTGGCTTTACCGTTCTCGACGATTAAAAGAGCAAGCTCTTCTTTCAATATCTCGAACGTTAAGACTCTGAAGTCTGTGAACACTCGTTTCAGAAATTAAAGTAGTATTTTACTTTGAAACAGAATTAGCGTTCTAGGCTCTTTACAGGGGAGGTGGGGTACTTAGTCTAGTTCAGGATTCGAAATTGAAGTTTCTTGCATGAACCAATGTTTGGGCTGTTGGCCTACCAAGTACTTGTTTGATACTCCTGCTGCCCTCTTAGATTGGGGTAAAGAGCGGTAAGTGCGGTAGAGAGTGACAAAGGACTTGCTCGGCTGGAAATGACAAATTTTTTTAATAACCCATTTGAAAATGTGTTTCAAAGTTATAATTCTCGAATAAAGATTAAATGAGATCTTTTGAAAACAATTGAATACTTCGACCATAACGTAGAGAAAGACTTGAGTAGGTCTGTACAGACCATGAGATCCCTCATTAGTTGGGAAGGGGAACAAAACATTTCATGTAACGGCATGGAAACCTCTCCCTAGCAGACACATTTTGAAATCGTGAGGCTAACAACAATACATAATGGGTTAAAACGAACAATATCTGCTAGGGGTGCACTTGAGTTGTAGAGCCAAACATCAGGCGGCGTGCCAGTAAGAATGTTGGCCCCCAGGGGAGTAGATTGTGAGATCTCACATCCGTTAGAGAGGGGAACGAAACATTCCTTGTCAGTCTCACGATTTTTAAATGCATCTGATAGGTAGAGGTTTTTACATCCTTGCAAATAATATTTCATTTCCCTTTCCAACCAACATAAGATCTACTAGTGGTGAACTTAAACGTTACAAGTATGGTTAAATATACAAGTGAGAACTTACCCAAAAATACAATATATCAAATTTATGTCCTAATTAACTAAGAAGCCTATAATTACACTTTCAACCGACGGTCACATGGTCGTAGGCACACAGAACTATGACGGCGGCTAATTTTTGAGAGGAGGACATGCTCATCCACGTATTTCAACTAAATCAATCGGAACAACTGATTGGGCTGGGCCTGACATGGGGCTGCGAGGAGCCAATCCGACGATCAATTAGAAAACATTCGAACCATGGAGGAGACGAGAAATCTGGTTTCGTTTCTTTCCCGTCTGAATTCTGAGGTGCAGTGTAATTTCAATTGTTCTTAACAAATGGCCACTCTGTTTTCAAAATTGGCGGTGGTAAGAGGCGGAGATGGCGTGTACGTAGCGGCCGTGCCACTAAGAGCTACAAAGGGCCCAGCCCAACTCCTTGCTTCCGCTGCTTACTCTTTTAACATCTGGGATTTGCAGCATTTCATGGTTATCATCGCACCTTCTTCCCCAACTTCTCGTTCTCAGGTTTGTTTTATTAGATTATTCGTTATGCCTTCTGCACAAAGAACGATTTAGTTTGAAATTTGAATTACCCACCTCATAAAAGTGGTTTTCGAGACGGCTTGTGCAATTTCTTAGCTAATTTGTGTTGAGGGTGCTTTTATGGATGGATTGATTGGCGTTTCTTGATTGTTAGAGATGATTGCAGGCTTTGGTTTTTGATTTCCAACCTAAAGATCCGGAAGATATACAAGTTGCTCTGGCTGCTCTTTCTGGAAAAGCAGTACCAGGTCTGTTGTGCAATTGATTTTACTCTTAACTCATTGTCATAGGATAGTTTTCATTCTGATCCAAATGAAAATTATGGGGTTCAAATTATTGTTTGAACAATGTCCAAACTGATGAATGAATGCTTATTGCAGTTCAATGCTGTGAGAGATGTTTGAAACAGACTTATTTGCACTGTTTTTTGTGAAGTTTAATGTTACTTCAATTGGATGTTTGTTCATAAGTCTTTGATTTAGAAGGGCTAGTGAAGTTATTAAGTAACCAATGATTTGGGGAAAGAAAACAAACTAAAAGAAAGCTGCCAAAAGGTGGCATCATTGGTTTGAGTTTGCCACTTCTTGTGTTCATGCACGCTTCTACTCTAATAGCCCAAGTCCAAATGGTTCTTTTTGGACTTTCTCTCAAGGTTTTATAACGCGTATGCTAGGAAGAGGTTTCCACACTCTTATAAAGAATGTCTCGTTCTTCTATCCAACCGATGTGGGATCTCAAAATTCACTCCCCTTCAAGGCCCAACGTCCTTGTTGGCACTCATTCTCCTCTCCAATCGACCAATGTGGAATCTCACAGTTCTCTCCCCCGAACGTTGGGGATCTCATAATCCATCCCCCTTTGGGGCTCAACGTCCTCGACTCTCTCCAATTGACTAATATGGTATCTCACAATTCACCCCCCTTGGGGTCTTAGCATCCTCGTTGACACACCACTCAGTGTTTGGCTCTAATACCATTTGTAACAGCCCAAGCCCATCGCTAGCAAATACTGTTCGCTTTGGCTTGTTACGTATCGCCGTCAGCCTCCCGATTTCAAAACGCATCTGCTAGGGAGAGATTTCCACACCCTTATAAGATTCTTCGTTCCCCATCCAACCGATATGAGATCTCTTTTACTACTACACAACTGATTATCTCATTACTCCAATGTAACCGAACTTAAAAGCTCAGGCTCTAACTATTTTCTTTATTTGTTGTGTTATCTACTTTTTGCAAATATTTTCAAAACTCGAGCTCAGTTAAGAAGATGAAAATCATTGCAAAGAAGGGTGGGAAAACAAACACAATTTCAACAACTAAATGGTCATCAAATGGGCTTAGTATTTTTCATAACCATATTCTTGGAATTTTCTGTGGAGCATTCTTCTACTTATTTCTATCATGAGCAATGAACTGAAAATCAATTATCTGCACTGTAACAGTTTTATAACTTGGTGTTAGGAGTTGTTCGTGAAAGGAAGTTGTCGAGGCTGCCAAAATACAAATGTTCATATATTGGATCGTCGGAAGCAAACGCTGTAGAAGTTGCTCGTAAGTTCAACGAAAGTTGGGATACTAATTTGAAGATTGGCCATCATGACTGCAGAGACTACACAAATGGTAATACCAATTCCTTGTCTCAATCTTCCATCGTGTTGATTTCTTTCTCAGTCATCTTAAAATTGAAACTTGAACATTATATTTGTCTGGTTTGGAAGGCTTGGTTGAAGCTCTGCTTGGTGAAGAAAATGTGTTGGAGTACCTAAGACAGAATTCGTTTAGCATTGAATGATGTACAATTCATCAATCTGCACACTAGAATTTGTCATATAATAGCACTTGATCTACTCTGAATGGTTACTTTCTGTATTAAAAATAGTTGCCTTCTATCCAGTTTGCTCTGTGGCTGCTTGTAAATGTGGTGATGTAATTTGCAGAGAGAAAAATTTATCTCCACTGGTCTACCTGTTTACCATTTTTGTCCTGCTGTTTTCTTGTTTATTTATTTAAAACGATAAAGAAAATAGTGATGAAAGTCGGTGAAAGTCGATTTGTAACAGTCCAAGCCCATCGCTAACAGATATTGTCCTCTTTCGGCTTTCCCTTCTAGCCTTCCCCTCAAGGTTTTAAAACGCATATATTAGGGAGAGGTTTCCATATCCTTATAAGGAATCATCATTTCTCTCTCTAACTGATGGGGGATCTTATAATCCAACCCCCTTAGGGGCCAATGTCCTCGCTGGCACACCACCCAGTGACTGACTATAATACCACGTGTAACAGCCCAAGCCCACCCTAGAAAATATTGTCTTCATTGGGCTTTTCCTTTTAGGTTTCCCTTCATGGTTTTAAAACGCGTCTACTAGGGAGAAGTTTTCACACTCTTATAAGGAATGCATTGTTCCTCTCTCCAACCGATGTGGGATCTCATAATCCACCTCCTTTTAGGGGAAGCATCCTCGCTGGCACATTTCCCAGTGATTGACTCTGATACCACTTGTAACAGCCCAAGCCCATCGCTAGCAGATATTGTCCTCTTTGGACTTCCCCTCAAGGTTTTAAAACGCGTCTGCTAGGGAGAGGTTTCCACACCTTATAAGGAATGTTTCGTTCCCCTCTCCAACTAATATGGGATCTCACACGATCAAAGTAGAGGGACAGGTTCGAGCGAAAGAATCGACGAAATGTGAGTTGAGAGCTAGGAAGGAAGGGTTGAGCCTGACATGAATCTTGGGAGGGTCTAGAACTCATCTTATGCTAAGAAAAATGCTTGCCTTTGAAGTTTAGCTATGATTTCAAGAAGCATAACCCCCAAGTAAAGAGATTTTATATAAACAGTGAGAATTGATAAACTTGGGGCACTACCAAAACAAAGCTCTAATAATATATGTATAGGAACTATAATTTAAGGGGTAGTTTCATAGCTTTCTTTCCTTTCTTGTTTATTGTTAAGAAACGATAATCGACTCGAAACTCTTAGTATTAGCAACTTAATCACAATTGTCTATTAGATTTGTCTGCTTTGTTCTGCTTGTATTATACTACCATAAGCTACACAGAAGCAGAAGGGAAGATTGAAAAGATTTGAAGAAAACAATTAGTTTAATTCTAAATCATAATGGATATGTTTCAGAACATAGTATCGATCCGATTCAAGCTTCCGAAATGAACAACAGTTTGAAACCAATGGGGCATGCCTTCAAAAGCAACATCCTTGAATTTCCCAGTATTTGGATGGAAAAGAACCAGAGCTCTGTTTCTATACTCCAACAAAATCTCTCCGCTTTTCAAAATGCAGAGAACCCTCACAATTCTGCCTCGAAGCACGATCTTCGACACCTTAAACGGTATCTCTGCTTCTTGTTTAAGTGCTTTTGGCATGTATGTTCCAATGTTGAAACTTTTAACCCAAGATTCCTTCACGCCATACTCTTTCATGACCCAAATCTCCATTTTGCCGTAAGTGCAGTAGACAGCAGCAGAGAGACAGCCATTTAGAATCACTAAATGGTAATTGTTTCGACTTAAGCTGCCCAAATCCGGCTTGGGGATGTCAATGAATTGCTCTGTTTCTAAGTCGAATGAGACAATGGCGCGACCAAGATGGTGTCGTGGAGGCAGAGAAACCCAGTGGAGTCTGCCATTGACGACGGCTTGAGGCTGCCCTTGAGCTAGATGGTGGTAAAGTTTGCCGATGCTTCTCCAATTGGAACTTCCCAATGTGAAAATTTGAACTTCAGAGTGGCTAAAGCGTCTCTGTATACGGCGAAAGCCTCTGGCATAAACAATGGTAAGCACTTTGAACTGTTTAGTTTGTGGGTGAAATCCAACGCCACAAACCACATCCGGATTCGAAAATTCCTTGGTTTTGGGGAGTTGTAAGTAATCTCTAGTAAAGGGGTTGTAAATAAAGAGCTTGTCATTGTAAAGAGAATCAGATAAACAGAGGAAGCCATGACATGAACCGACCACATCGTACTCGGACATTGTAGCTGAAAAAGGAGTGAAAATCCTCTTCACTGACAATTTATCGTCTCTGAAATCAGGTAAATCAACGAAATAGAGCTGATTTCTGATGGGGTAATCACAGTGGAAGATTAAGCAACGAAAGTTATGATGATCATCGACAGAGTTGTGCAGGTCAAGAACTTGTGGGTGTTGAGCTAAAAGCCGCCATGACCTGCAAACGTATCTGAACTGAATCAGAGATGAAATGGGTAGGCGAGAAAGGATGCTGAGAAGAACATCGTGAGGAAGATCATCCATTTGGTGAGGTTGTTGTTGAAGATTGAGCTTCTTGTTGTGGAGAAGACGAAGAACAGGGTTTGAGGCCATGATCGACATGGTAAAGGCAAAAGGAATAACAGAGGGGGTGAAACTACAAGGATTGAAGGAAAAAGCAAAGAAAAAAAAGGGGAGAGGAGAGAGATGGATGATCAACAAAGTGGACTTTGGTGAAATCAAACCAATAATCAAATGGAGACGGAAGTTACAAGGAACGAGTGTTCTTCTCGCTCGTGGGATCCACTTTTTTGTGTATATTCTTTGCATCCCATCGTCTCACGATCATAAAAACTCCATCAACTCAATCCATCTCGTACTAATGAACTTATTTATATTGGGTTAAATTTAAATAAATGAAAATTTTATGAATTGAGTTAATTTTTTTTAAAAAATACATTTTTGTTTATAATATAATATATATATATACACACACATCATATTTTTATTATTATTTATTCTTCCCCTACTTTTTAAAATAATTTTTAATTATTTTAAAGAATTTTTTAAAAAATATATATTGAAATTGAGCCAAAAATCTTAATTAAATATTCTATTTTATTATTTATTTATTTATTTATTATGGGTGATACTTTTTTCCAATTGGCGATTTAAAAAAAAAGGAGAGAGATTGTCTAGCTTAATCTGAGCCGTTGATTAGATTAAACGTGGACCAATTCCAACTTGATAAGATATTAGGGTTTCATGCCTCAGCTTACCCAATGTGAGACAGCCACGTCATCACCCATTACGTGATCGATGAAAGCACGCCTTCAATTTTATAACAACCAAATAATTTTTTTAATATAAATTAGAAATATGGAGAAAATATTAACAAAACTGTAATAATAAAAATATTTAAATGATAAATAAGCGTTTAATTCTTTTTAAATGATTTGAAATTCATAATCATATTTTAGTTATGTGTTATTATAAAAATGTTATTTATTTCTTATATTGTTTTAAATTTAAAAAATGTAAAAATATTGATGAAAATGTCGACCCAGATTTAAAGTATTAAATAATTCTTTAGGAAATTTTTAAAAATTGCGGTGAGTTTGGTTAGTTGAATGTCAACATCGGCATGATGTGAGTTTACCTACATAAAGAAGCTACAGGAAATATTAGTATATAAGAACTTAGAAAGTAAATTGCAGTTTTCTCCGATATTATGGAGTTAACTAATAAAATTAAATTTTTGGTTCTAGCGGTTTGGTTTGGTTATGAATTTACACCAAATACCATTGTATGTCACTCACTACTCCAACACTATCGGTTCGTTCTTTTTTTTTTCTTTTTCTTTTAATTTCTTGATTTTATAAAAGCAATAGGGAGACTTGACTTCGAGGCCTGACTTCCTATTGATTAACTAATAATTATCATAATTATTTTAAAAAATTATATGTATCTATATTAAGTGTTATTTAATAACTAAAATTTTATAAAATTCAAATGGAAAACATTTATAAATCACGGTCCATCACTAACTCTATATATATACACGTTAAAACATTCTTTCGTAATCATATTTTTTGGTTGGATAGTCGGATCAGCAAACCAAACCGATTTTTTTATGTTTAAAAAATTCAATCAAACTTAAATCGAAAAGAAAACCTAATCCAACCCGACCTTCATATTTAGGCAGGATAGTTGGATTATTTAGAGCATGTTCACAATGAAAATACTACCAAATCAATTACCCATCTACGCTGCAAACCACCACTACCATAACGAGAATAGGTTTGGTTTGATTTTTACCGTCGAGAATATGATAGTCTCGTTATAGATCCAATTTTTATTCTAAAAAATTCACCACTATATTAAGACTAACCTAATCCACCACTACCATAACAAGAATAGGATAGTTGAATTTTTATTCTCGTCCATGGTGTCACCTCTGGTGGCATCTGATTCTCTGTTAACCATCGATGACATACATTATGTCATATTGATGTAGAAGTAGAACGAAACGCTCCCCGCGAGAAAATGTAAAGATCAAAACTTTATCTTTTTATTAATGCAAAACAAATAATTCCAAAAGATGGAATTGATAGTGACAGTGAGAATAAAGTGGGTTTTCTTTCTTTTTCTTTTTCTTTTTCTTTTTCTTTTTCTTTTTCTTATATAAATATATATTTTCTTCCAATGAATTAAGGATAGAATGAAAAGCTGTGTTATGATTTTAATGCATCTAATTATTATAAGTTGATGTAGATGATGCATTTGACTATGACCACTAATAATTAAATTTTAATTCATGTATTTATATATTTTTTTAATCTAAAAATCTAATTCTCGAACAAAGTTTTGTCTTAATGTCTACAAAAATAAATTAGAATGATAGCGAGAATAAAAATTGAAATAGAAAACAAAAATAATATGTAATCTACGATATAATTGATGGGCACGCAACATCTAAGTAAATGAAAATTGATATTACATTAAGTGTAATCCGTCAATAAATTGTTTTAAAAAATAGTAAATGAAATAAATAACAATTAGTAAATGAAATTCATATAAATCAAAAAAAGAAAAAAAAAGTTTAATCGGGAAAATATGGCTATATAGCATTAATTTGGGCCATATTTGCTTACAGGCCCATTAAAGCCGTATTGGGCTTTCTATATTGAAGCAAGAACAGCCCAATACTTTGTAAGCCCATCTAAGTCCGTCGAAGATAAAGTTGGACGTATTTGTTGAAAATGCGTTCGAATCCTATCTTTCACATTAGAACACAATTTTCTCTGTTTTTTTTTTTTGTCTGTCTAATTTTTAACAACAATTTTCTCACAAACCAAAAGTTAAATCATAAATATCAAAATCAAAACCAAAGTCCAAAGAAATATCATCTTCGATCATACTAAGAACGGATCATAATAACAAACCAATAGTAACTACAGTCTACCAATAGTAACTATAGTTTGATAATGTCGATCCTCAAAATAATGTTCCAACTTCTCAACGTGCCTCCCCTTCTCCTTTTGTATATTAAATCCAAACATATCAACTAACATTCAACTACATACAATTATTATCTTGATTGAAAGTAGTAATTTTAAACACCGGGTAACGAAGGAAGGAGGTGAATGAGGCATAGATAAACAATTTTCATCGATATTAACGAGAACTAAACAATATTTTTAAAACTATACCTCATTAAAGTCACATCAATCAAACTAAGAAATGTAGAACTTTTGCTTGAAAAAAAAAAAAAGTTCTAACATGCCCTTTTTCTTTATTTTTTTATTATTTTTTTCCTTTTTCCTTTCACTTTTTACTCTCAATTTCCAAAGGAAGAAGCATAAAAGAATCAGATGTAAAGCAATTTAGAGAGAGAAGCAAACAAGGCTCGGTTTCAGCTGTCAAATGTGTTCATGTTCTTCACAAACAGTGTTCCTTAATGGGATTCACCTGGGAAGCCAGAGAGTGATGAGGCTGCCCCCATTTTCCTCTTCACAGCCCCATTTTCAATGCCAGCAGACATGTCCTAGTGCATGACACAATACCTATTCCAAGCCACACCGCATGCTCAGCAGATTCCAAAAGACATATCAGAAAGTTAGAACACAAAAGGAACCCCACAAAACAGGGCACTCAGATGAGAAGAATCTGAGATTGTTCCTGTTCCACCTTTCATAAATCATCAACATTCAGAGCAGCAGAAACTAAAATCATCAACATTTCAAGTCGGTTAAGACGACGAATTTGTGGTTATAATAGGGAGCCGAGATGGATATCCCTTGAATGTTTTTTCTTTCACACAAACAGTTCAAGAAAAAGAGGAACTCTGATACAATCTGTTCACAAACAAACCAAAATGATGGAACAAAGAGCATTCCTCAACAAAGCTCACAACTTTGCCTAAGGCGTTACTGCTACAATTATGATGAACTTGACCTTGAAAATAAAAAAGGGTGACCTTAATTAAAGGGTAAAAGAAAAAGGCTTAGTCTATCATATTTTGTGGATGCCCACCTCACTGAAGATGCATGATGATGATACATATTTTGCTATACTGCCGCAATCTGATTTTACATCTCACTCATATATAAGAGGAAAAACACAAAAAAAAAAAAAAAAAAAAAA